AATTGATCAAGCGGGACAAGATTGGCTCACCTGATGGTCAGCTCAACATCAATGGCCCCAAAGATCCGGCAAAGATGTCAAAAGTGGAGCGTGAGATTCAGGTGCTCAAGGTGAGTAACCTTGAAGTGAACGCGCCAAGTTGCGTCTTATAGAAGCGAAGCAGCTAGCTGACGCACATTGTTCGACTTTTACCTTTTCGTGCCGCAGGACGTGAGACATCCAAATATCGTACGTCTGTACGAAGTCATTGAATCTGACAGATACATCGGTATCGTGCTGGAGTATGCCAGCGGGGGAGAGCTGTTTGATCACATTTTGGCCCACAAGTATCTCAAGGAGCGCGACGCTTGCCGGCTCTTCGCGCAGCTCATCTCGGGCGTGTCCTACTTGCACAAGAAGAAGATTGTGCACCGCGATTTGAAGCTGGAAAACTTGCTACTGGACCGCAATCGCAACGTGATCATCACCGACTTTGGGTTCGCAAACAACTTCGAAGACAGGAGGGACGACCTCATGGCCACGTCTTGCGGCAGTCCTTGTTACGCAGCACCCGAGCTCGTGGTTCAGGACGGTCTGTACGCAGGCTCTGCCGTCGACGTGTGGTCTTGCGGAGTCATTTTGTACGCCATGCTCGCAGGCTACCTGCCTTTTGACGACGATCCGAACAACCCGGACGGTGACAACATCAATCTGCTCTACAAGTACATCATGGCCACTCCCTTGTCCTTCCCAGAATACATTAGCGCCGAACCGCGCGATCTCTTGTCCAAGATGCTCGTACCCGACCCAAGGCGTCGTGCGGACCTGCAAGGCGTCATGGCGCACAGCTGGCTGGCGCCTTATCGCGACCTTTTCAGATTCAGCGTCGACGAGCTGGAACGTGCGGCAGTGGAGCAGCAGACGAAGAAGCGCCAAGTCTACAGGCAACAGATGCAGGTCCAGCAACAGCTTCAGGACCAACAGCGCTCCGGTCGCGGAACCGCATCCCGCGCGGGCGGTAGCGCCGGCAAAGCTGCCGCCGATCCACGCCAATCACGCCATCAGAGTGCGATGCCAACTACCACAGCGAGCCGCACCGAGTCTGCGTTGTACGACAATTCTGGCGCGCACGCTTCTCGTTCGCGGCCCACAACTGGTATGCCTTCGCAACCCGCAGATTTGCCAGCGGTGTCTGCTCCTCCGACACCTGCCTACAGCACGCCACAAGCTCTTGCGCAGCTCGGTCCGGAGGAGCTGAACCGCATGCCAAACGAGCCGCGCAAACGCGAAGCGCCTCCCGAGTCGAGTGGGCACCAAAAGACACCCTCTTCTCAGAAGCCGCAGCGCCACACGATTCAGCTGGAGTACGATGGAGACAATCGAAGAGCAGCACAGCGCAACGACTCTGCGCAAAATGCGCCACCCGTTCCTCGCATCGACAAGAAGGGCAGCGCGCCTCGTATCGGTGTGGACGGCGCCTCAGCGCCCGTCACCTCTCAAGAAGCTGCTGTCATCCCTGCAGTGCCGGCTCTGGTACCTGCAGCCGAGCGACAGGCGTCGATGAGCAAGAGCTCCACCCAC